AAATCAAATAAAATAATAAATATTAATTAATTAAAAATTAAATCTTAATTAATTAATTAATTATTAATATATAGTATTTACATGAAAGCATTATTATTGAATTTGATAGTTTTTTATGCCTATATTTGAATTTATAGGTTATGAGGAATGACTGCGTTTGTTTCTCTCTCTCTCTCTCTCTCTCTCTCTCTCTTTCTCCATCCCTTCCCCTTTCCCTGTACTCATATCCTTTGTTTTCTAATCTCTATTCAAATCTAGGGTTCAACATCCAGATCCTTGTTTTTCTATAATTTCCCACTACTTATCATATATTTCCTCTAATAAAAAACCCCCCTTAAATCCCTACTTTTTATATATTTTCTTGCTTCCATTTTTTATAATTTTCTTGTTTTCTGTTGCTTGTGTGTGTTTTCTTTTGATGTTTGTATAATCCATGGCTGGTTTAGATTTAGGCACTGCTTCTCGTTACATTCATCATCAGCTCCACCTTTCTGACTTGCAACTCCACAGTAGTCAACCGGAAAACAACCAACACCACCAGCTCTTCGCCGACGGTGCCCTCCACAACCATCAGCATCAAGAGGAGGATGACGGTACTCAGGGTCATGACCTCGTTTCCCCCAACTCAGCTGGTGGTGGCGGTGGTGGTGACATCGTTGGCCGACGACCTAGAGGCCGTCCAGCCGGATCCAAGAACAAGCCCAAACCTCCTGTTATCATCACAAGAGAAAGCGCCAACACACTAAGAGCTCATATCTTGGAAATCGGAAACGGTTGTGATGTCTTTGACTGCATAGCAACTTATGCAAGACGACGGCAACGAGGGATCTGCATACTATCAGGAAGCGGCCTCGTCACTAACGTCAGCCTCAGGCAGCCAGCAGCAGCGGGGTCTGTGGTGGCTCTTCATGGCCGGTTTGAGATCTTATCTCTCTCCGGTTCTTTCTTGCCTCCGCCAGCCCCACCAGGAGCCACCAGCTTGACCATATTCTTGGCTGGCGGTCAAGGGCAAGTAGTAGGTGGAAACGTGGTTGGAGAATTGACTGCTGCTGGTCCGGTCATCGTTATCGCTTCCTCCTTCACTAATGTCGCCTATGAAAGACTCCCACTAGAAGAGGAAGAGCCGGAAGGAGCTGGGCTTCAGATGCAACAGCCGGCTTCTCAAACCGATGGCGGTGGTGGAGGGATAAATAGCAACAACCCATTTCCAGACCCATCTTCCGGTCTACCATTCTTCAACCTACCTCTGAGTATGCCTCCAAATGTTCAGTTGACGGTGGATGGATGGGGATCAGCCGGCGGAGGAGGAGGTAACTCAGGTGGACGCTCCAATAACAACAATCCATTCTAATATGGATCGGGTAACAGGTACCCCCTTTGTTTGGATCGGATTAGATAGCTTCTTTTGGATCATAAGATTGTTCAGCAAAAATCACTGCATCAAACTACTACTTTCTTCTCTTGTTATATTTGGTGTTTTGATGTTTTTTTTATCTTTCTTGGGGTTTCTATTTGTAACTTAATTAATCTGTCCTATGAAAATAGTCTTGTTAATTTGTGTTCCATCTTCATGAATCTTTCTCTCTTCAAGGCATCATATTAAAGATTTGGGATTTTCAGGAATGTGTCATTGTTGATTATCAGACACTAAGAGTTGATGTCTCCTCAGAATCAAGCATTAATTATGAAACTTAAGGTTTTGGGGTTCTGGGATGTTTTGTTTCTGTTGCATTGTTTTCAGTAAGACCAGTAAATATGGCAACAGATCACTAAATAATTTGGCAATTTCAGAAGTTTTGTGATAATTAGTTTGCTATTGTCTTTTTAACAAATTGCTTCCTCCTCACAAAAAGAACGAGTTCTTCATTTATAATTACACAAAGCAATTGATACGTTTGCTTTTAGAAACATCAAGCTACAATACTGTGTTAATGGCTCGTTACAAGTTTTCTTTACAGTCACGCATGCAAACGCCTTGGATCACTATAATGTGTTGGTAAAGAAAGAACATTGTCCTCCTGTGTTCATCGAACTAAACTTGCTTGATGTCTTTAATTACAATGGGTTGTCTTTATTTAGGATAGAATTCATCGTCAAACCTGTCAATTATCACTTATACATCATGAATGAGGTTGCTCGAGTCTTGATTCTTGATATAAATGAAGGATGGAGTTCTTGACTTCATGTATAGGTAAGATGAAATGGAGTTATGCCATGATTAATTGCTGTCTAAGCTCCCTTTCATTGCTCAACCTTTTATATTCACCATTTTCAATATTTAAAATGCACACCTCCCTCGTTGAATTTCTTGAAAATGGCAATCTTTTTTCTGAAACCCATGCCCAATTGTCTATCCATCTCTCTCTCTCTCTCTCTCTCTCTCTCTCTCTCTCTATATATATATATATATATATATATCACACAAAAGCTAGCATTCGATTTTCTGGTATATGGGAGTTTTGATGAAGTAATAGGTTCCAATTTCCATGCAGTGATAAATGGAAAAACTACAATGGAGTACTTCAAGTGTTGCCTTAACAGATGAGTCAAAATGTGAGTTAAACATAGTTTCCAAAGGTGTTCATGTTCTAAGTACTGTATGATTCTCAATTTTAAGTTTGTATTTTTTAACCAACTTTATGCAGTTTTTGCCTTTTTGTAGTAAAATAATATTTGGCATGTGGGTAACATATGAGCTAAAATCATTTAATTAAAACCCATGCTGCACATGTTCATTTATGGACTACTTGATGATGTTTAACTACTACTTAAGTGTCCCCGTGAAAGGACAAGCACAAACTTAATTTCTAACAAACACTTGGCCGTCGGATTTGTTATAGCCGACGGATAAGATTCCGTCTGAATATAATGCTTCTGTCTTAGTATTTTATATGTAAACTGTGGTTTGGTTGCCTACAATGTCACAAGAAATAACAGTCATTTTTTCTATATATTGAACTTTCAAAAATATAATTTAACATCATAAAATCGTTATGGATGTTGCTTGATCGATCAAATTCTTCGTTTGTATATTTAATTTCCAAATAAATTATGATTCTATCTTGTAATAATTAACTATATATATATATGGTTAATTTGTGGCAAAGTATGCACAAGGTCATGAAGTTTAATTAGCATATGTTTGATGGTATGATAATTAATTAACAAATTGGAATTAATACGGTTGTTGATCAATAAATTAAGTAGACCTTAGAATTACATGACTACCTAATGGAATTTGTCCTTTCATTCACTCGATCGGATCGGATGGATAAGAAAACACCGATCACATACGATACTAGTTGGAGTCGCCAATGAATTTCCTTCTTTATGAAAGATCTACGTGTTCAAATTCAAATTGTGTTATTCTCCACTGGATTATATATTAAAACGGTGTGCTACGAATGGATTTGCATCCGTTGATCACGTATATATTAATCTTTTTGAGCGCACTTGGAATGAACAAGCAAAGGTCCTAAAGTTAGCCTACGTCCTCATTGCTTTAGATTCCTTAAAAAACATAAACAAGCATATACGTGGGTTGTGGTCATCTTTAGTCTAAGGTTTGTGGTGCACCACATAGGACTTGTTTAAGACTCCTGTTCTTTTAAAGAAATATATATATATATACATATATATATATATATAACTTACTTTTAGGGTTACCAAGAATAAGTTTGGATGAAGTAATATATGTCATTTGTAGCTTTGAGCCTAGAGATAAAGAAGAAGTGTTCTCTTTGTATTTTCTTTTAATTATCTCTTTTCATTTTTTTAATCAAGTGCAAAATTGATCATATATAAACTATTCAAAAGCCATATATATATATATATATATATATATATATTGATCATCCTGGCAATGAAGTGGCATTTGGAAGAGAGGTTAGGAGAACATGATTGCTTGGATTAAAGGAGTGGTTAGGGCAAAGCCACCAACTCATTTTCAGATATAATTGAACATCTAAATATTTTAAACTAATTAGGGTTTAAAAGACAATCACCCATTCAAGTAGAAAGACTTGCAAATGATGCGAACAAATAGCCCATTTTCATATATAGAGAGAGGACGTTTCAAATGCAACTCAGCATATTTGTACAACCAATGCAACTCAATCAATTGAGATATTTATGGAAATGATGAAAATTAATTTATTATGATTTGAATATTTATGAAAGATGAATAAGGTTAATTAATTATGATCAATACTTTATATTAGAAAATAATCTAAACTTTTATGAAATCACATATTCATCGAATTAAATGGACGGTTGATATTGAGTTGTATTGGTTGTACAAATATAAATGGTTGCATAATAACTCACTTCTCTCTCTCTCTATTTATATATATATATAATATTATCGTTGTAGGCGATTATAGACAGACTTAGAAAATTTAGAAATTGTGCGTGTTATACCAATTGTTGCAAAAACAATGATTGTTAGCAAGATTCGGAGTCATGTGAATTTAATGATTTGCAAATAATAGAACCTAAGCAATTATTCTACTTGCATCATATCGTTGACATGGCATGAAAATGATTTATAAGTTTCATTAAACTAATAGTAAATAAGTAGAAATGAGACAATTTCCAGTTATCTAATAACTCGAGTTCTTATTTTAGAACCAACTTCCTTTAAACCATTCTCCAAGAATGTCTCCACTACAGTTTTAGCTTCTAAGCCGCTCTTGAGCAACAAAATCTCTACACATATCACCATTAGAAACAAAGTCGGAATTGTTAATTTGTAGCGTCGATTAAGATCCTCTTTCACGCTTTCATTCCACTGGACCATGGTCATTGCTTCCACTCATCGATCGATCCCCACATTTCAGTAGCTTTATTTTCCAATGGCTAGCTAGTTTTGGAAATGAAGATTGAAGGCTAAGGTTCAGGTCAAGTCTTTGGTGAATTGACGATCATATGTATATATACATATATATATATATGAACAGAAACAGCAATAAAAATATATAGTCATTAGTATATGACAACGGCATAGTAGGGATGACGGTTGGGTGTTACTGTAGTTGGTTTTGTAAATGGCAGAAAAGGGTAGCTAGGGTTTTGCCAACAAACGATGGCTTGGATTGACTTGAGTTAAAATATGCTGAACAACTGATGACACATTTACACATAAATATATGTGTGTATATATATATAAGTTATAGCGAGAAGTATGAGAAGATATCTAAACTTTGATATTTTTAATCTCATGTGGACCTATGAATTGCGTTTTATAAGGGAATTGATGTGGTTTATCTTTGTGCACCTAATTAGTGTTAACATTTAGTTAAGATTGATCCACGGGTTAAGATTTCTTCTTACGCTTCTCACTATAATTTCTCTTCTCACGGGAATCCAACTCATTTATACATGTTTGGGTTCTGGTGAAAAGCATAAGAAGGGATTTTCGCTCTTGGATGCACATTAGGATGAGATGCACTGGATCAATCCCCGTATCAAGCGCGATTCATATGTGGGTTTGAGATTAAAGGTGATTAAGGGTTCACTTCTTACGATTCTCACGTTAACTCTCCTTCTCGCCAGAACTCAACCCTCTATATAGATATGAGTTGGGTTCTGCATCTTCCCCTTATAAAGCTTCTCATTCCTTTGGTTCCACATGACCAAAAGTAACTTATAAAGACGACTTCCGCAGCCTCTTTAATGCGTTTTCGGGGACCCAACTACTATTTTGTTGCCCACAGATCAAGTACCGATTCAGCGGCAGTAAGCCAAATGCTCCAGCATTGATGAATTAGCGGTTGAGTTATAGAATTTGATCAGTTTATGTTTCATGGATTGTTGTGATTCATTTTGATTTAGTTATATTCATTGTAAAGTGTTTGTATTTGGGTTTGTACGCGTATTACTCTTTATTCTATATAATCTTTTTTATGATTTACATTACAAAACAACAGAATATCTGTGACGGACAAAACCGTCGGTTAAGGTCGCAACAGTTTTTAGACGGAAAAAACGGGTCGACAAAGAAATGGTTGGCATTTGGCAAGAAAAACCCTCCTGTTATGTAAAATATGAGTCACTAACATTTAATACCCAATGAGATTAATTATGACCGAATCGAGTGAAATATGACTCGTTAAAATCCGCTTAAAACCCGTCAAGCCCGGTGATTGATTATAGACCAATTATCACACATTAAAGTTCATTAAGATCCATTATGATTCATTTTGAACATATAAGATCCATCAACACCCATTAAAACATAGAACAAATATATTTAAGAAATAACAACAAAAATAAATAAATATCCGTCCATATCGTAAACCCCAACAATTACCTACGGTTTTCATGATAAAAAAGATGGTTTAAATTGAATGGTGGTCGATAAACCATTGAAAACATCTATTGATTTGACAGATTTGGCTATTTGCAACGTGTTCCTTTTTTTCTTAAAAATAAAAAATTTAATTCAGAGAAAGTTTTCTCGATTGATAATTGGTTTAAAAAAATAGATCATTCGTCCATGTTTTCCTTAAAAACAAATTAAAAATCATATTATGGTTGATGATCAACCATCAATAATATATGAACATTTAGATTGTTTACCGATGACATTATGAATATAAGTGGAAAATGAAAACATTTAACATTTATCAACGGTTTACAGACAAAATACTCTGTTGCCGTGCGCACAACCGTCAGTACCTACCAATGGTTCATAGACAATTTCCATTTCCACATCTAACTGTCGATTAACTATTTTACAATTTTCAATTTACTTTATATAGGTTGCACAAAATCCCGATAGGCCAATAACCCAATCCTATCCATCCCAAATTAAAAAAAAGTCTGATGAACCGAACGAAACTAAACCAAAATCATAGGATTCTAAGTTTTACAGGCCCGATATAATTAGTGGGAATAGGATTGAGGTCAAACCATCCCAACCCAACACGATGAGATCGATTAAATTAAATAATTAATAGTTTAATATATTACATATAATTAATAAGCAACAATTATCGTTTGTCAGTTCTATCTTTTTACCTGATACTACGATTGTTAGTTTTCCCTGTTGCTTTAAGTTAGTAACTTAGTTTTTAAGTATTGTAAGAGTTTTCTCTTTTTTTTTTCTTCCATAAACTAATTTATTATTTATGTATCAATCATCATAACCTTCCAATCCAATCCAACCCACCGAACCTAAACTAATTTGCAAGGGTTAGGTTGGTTTGGATCATTATTGTTAATAGACTAGGTTAAGTTGAGATTTTTCTAAACCGATGTAATTCAATTAGGTTATTGCAATCCACCCAACCAAACTCATGTGCACACTTAACTTCATTGGATATTTCCTTGATAGTCAGTTGACCCCGACGACAACGGCCGTCGGTTATGCCCAATTTCTTTTGTAGTGATACATAAAATAAATACCAAACCACAAGAGGTGGTACCTGATTGGTTTGAGTTTGGCTCCAAAGGTCGAAAGTATCAGGAGATCTCAGGTTCAAATCCAAGGAGGAATAAAAATCCCCTTGTGGCCATAGAGGTTCAAATGCGGTGACTCCGAGCTATCTGCAAAGCAGATGATCGTCCTGAAATTAGTCGGCTCGCATAGCGGGTTGGATATCCAGGTTAATTAAAAAAAACTACTAGAGGAACATGTTTTTTTAGTTCTTTATATTGTAATAGTCGCCATTAAAAAAAGTAGCAATTGAATGAAGAAATAATGAACGTGGAACAACAATATGAAAAATATAATTCATATACATCCTCGGGAGGAAAAGTTTTGACACAGAAATAAGCGAATGATCATATGAGAAGAAGAGGTGAGGTAAAAAGTGTAAAAAGGGATTTGGATCCTTGATCACCTTTAATCTCAAACTCATTCATGAATCACGCTTGATATAAGAATTGATCTGGTGTATCTCGATACATCTCATTCTAATATGCATAGATATTTTTTTTACGCTTCTGACAATAATCCAACCCTATAGAGATATCGTTTATTGGTTGATTTATTAATAAATGCATATATAGTGCCAAGCAAGGAATATATTTAATGCAGTAACATATATAAACATGTGAAAGGTGTTGTCTTTTATGATATCTTAACCTACAAATCATACCCATTAGACGTTGCTATATAAGTTAACATCCTTAAATATATAAATCACTTTTTTGTTTAATTAAATAAAGTCTAAATTAAGGTACTTGTAAATAAAATAATAAAATGAATATAATATGACACATGTTTTTAATTAATTTTATAAATAAAAAGACTTTCCAAAAAATATTTTTAATTAAATATTATTTAACAATATTTTATACGATTATAAAATATTGATAAAATAAAAAAAAAATGTAATTATATCAAGAAGGAGCAGAGACGATGATATCAACAAGAACAACCCCAGATTGATTCTACAAAAAGTACATTTGATTCACTCTTCATCCCTAAATTCAAAGTTTCACAGAAATACCTTCTAAAAATAGTAATAATAATAGATAGATGAATATTCCAAGATACCGGTAGCGGCCCACCGACCATGCTCCCCTGCTTCCAGATTCAAGAAAATTAAGATATTCAAGTTTTGAAAAAGATAGAATTCAAGTATAATGCCCACATGCCCGGTAGCATATATGTAAATGGATCTGTAAACTCGATGCAACGACCACATCAACATCATCATCATCATCATCATGTCTGAATTTACTTGATTCAATTGGGAAGCATGTTCATGGTGGAGCTTGGCCACCCCATGTTTGAATACATGCCCAGATTTTGCATCGGCTGTTGTTGTTGTTGCTGTTGCCGCTGCTGCTGGTGGTGGCTCGGATTGTTGTAGGGACCAGGCATCCGATGAAGCGGGCTGCTCCCACTATCATCAGATGATTCACTTGATGGCCCTTCAGATGGAGGACTTATCCCAGCAACACCCCCTCCATCACCACCACCGAAAGTCAACATGTTTGGTGGTGCCGCCGATGATGGCCCCACGCTAGATTTTGATTTCTTCCCATCTGCAATGAAGCTACCAACAATAACCTGCAACATAAACCATAAAAAAGAAGGCATTTTCTTTGTTAATATAACACTTCTCCCCCATATATATATATATATATATATATATATATATATATATGTTTAAAGGGTCAGGTTCTGGGAAAAACCGCAAAAAAATGAAATATTGAAGAACACCTTGGTAACTGTTCATCTGGACGGCAAACACATGTGCATACAAGTAATTTGTAAGCAATTTGTAAGCAATTTGTTCGGTATGCACATGTGCATACAAGTAATTTGTAAACAATTTATTAGGTATTCACATGTGCATACAAGTAATTTGTAAGCAATTTGTTCGGTATGCACATATGCATAACATAGACACGTGCATAAAAACCAAAAATAATTTCAGTTACTTGTACGCACATGTGCATCCCGTCCAGTTACTAGGGTGTTCCTCAATTTTTCATTTTTTCAGGGGTTTTCCCCTGAACCTCCCTCTATATATATATATACACATAATGTATGGCTGCATATGTGTATAGAGGGAGAGACCTGTACAGGTGATGCAGCCACCAACATCCCAGCAACACCACCACCCAAAACTCGCCCATCTGAACCGGCAAGAGAAACACTCAATCCACTAGGTCTGCTGCGGTTACCATTACTCTCCGAGTGCAAGAAGGAACCTGATAAAGATATTATCTCAAATCGACCCTGAAAGTTGGATCAACATCCCAGTTAGATTAGCGACATTAAGCACTAAATTCACCCAATCTACAACATCAAGAACTGGATTTTAGAAAAATCTTGAACCAAGAACTAGTTTTTAATAACAATCTAGACCCTACAACTGATCCGAATGAGAAAATTGAATGCTTTATAGATAGAAATCACAAAAGCAAACAGCTCTCTCCGGTGACAAGAAAGCATAACGAGAATTCACTAGCAACAGAATAGAAACAGATAAAGATTAATGGTCTTGGTATTATACCATGTAAATCATTTGTTACGGATCCGTCCTATATTTAATTCAGAATAAATTTATAGACGGTTGCTAACACAATTTTGTTCAAGATTAAACGAGTTAACCAAATGATTTGTGATCCACGTTTAAAGGTCGATTCGTCATGCTGTTAAATTTCAAACTAGGACTCTGGCACAAACAAAAACTTGAAAACTTTAAATCAAGGTAAACTTTTTGCGCTTATTTAGCTTCCTCAATCCCAAGAAATTAGCAACAATTTTTGCACAACTTTACACACATAGTTTAACAAAATTACCCTTAAACTGAATTTTAGGGAAGAAAACAACCAATCTGATGCTAGTAATTATAATTTTCAACCCACTCGTATCCAAAAGAGCTTAAGTTGAAACATTTTAAAAAGTGTAAGCTTAACAGGAGACGGTCTAAAGATGTAAACCTCATATGATACAGTGCCACCAGAAGTTGCTGGCTGACGAAGGGTCACATTGCAGATGGCACCATTGGCAGATAGTATACAAACAGTTCGAGGTCCTTGTTGTGAAAATGCCATAATCGTCGAGGCTATATCCTGTCAATGGAAAAGCCAACATTTTTACGATGAGGGGATTACTCCAATGGCCAAAATTTCAATCCCCAAAGAAGGTAGGCCAGACAACCAAATAATTTCAATAAATTCCAATATCATGCGTAGGTAGTAAACAGAAAATCATAAAAATTGTATAGTCCATTTGTAAGAAATAAATCTAAGATATAATTAAAAATTGAGAGATTATCAAATCAATCACAGTATTAAACAACAAAATATGAATCCATTCAAGATTTAAACCTAGCAGACCACTAAGCTAGTGCTAGGGAAGACGACTTACAGACAAGCACTGGATTTCCGATTTCCTTATGCTTAATGACCCCAATGAACATGACAAACATAATTGGGAACTCGTCTACTCATGATAGCATAACCTTTGCTCTTCATATAAACCAAACGAGCACAGTATATCCCACCCAAAAGTGGGATTTGGGGGTATGATGTAGGCAGGCGTGACCTCTAACGAAAGGGTGTTGTTTCTTTGAGGACCTCCAGCTTGTGAAAAGTGTGAAAGAGAGAAGATTAGCCCAAAAAGTGCGGAAAAGAGGACTTAGGCAAGAAAGGTAAATACAATAAATTTTGAAAACTTTGCTCTTACATCTTGCTACCAAAACTGCATTTACTTATTTAGGTTCGCACCAGTTCTTGACCAAAGTTCAGGGTACAATACACATTTTCAGATTTTATGGTTGTCATGCAGTGGCTAAAATTAAGTTCATACTATACCATAGATTGTCTTCTATTTAAATTTCCTATATGCATGTATCCACGTGTAAAGATAACATGCATTAGATATGTATCATCAAAAAGTTTGAACCATTATGTATCAAAATATACCAAGAAAGCATCAGGTTCTAAAAAGCGTGCCATGGCAAGAGAGATGCATCATGTACGCCAACTTAACCCCATAGCGGCGTGTAATGTGAGGCGTGTACCATGGAGTCTTGAGGAGCGTTATAGTGAGCGTTTTTAAGGAGTTATTGCACTTTGTTTAACTTTTTAATTATTTATTTTTTAAAGGTTCTATATGTGTGTGTCATAATGATATTTTTTTCTTCTTATTATATAAATTAAAATTTCCATTTATTTAGTAATAGTCGAAAACATATGTGTGTATATGATATACAGACTTGCCATCTTATGCCACATCTTGAAAAACGCCTTGGCCTAGCCGTGGCTCCTAAGGATTCAGTAAATCAACAAAGCCCAAAGTGATCTCTCTTTCCCCTTCAACTAATAGTAAAATTGTCAACTAATCAGAATGCTTGATTATTAGACCATGGTTTTTGTATATATGTATGGACATATTTGTGCAGTGCTGGGCCAGAGACTCTCTTCAGATTGAGCCCAAACTTTGAGACTTGAAATCGCCCCAACACCTTATGCTATTTAGAACCTTCAAAAACATAGAAGTCGTGAAACAAGCACATTTACAATATATTACCCCTTTTGAGTTCTGTGCCATGAAAATTGCAACAATTGACCCTACACTATCAATCAAATGTAAAGATAACTGAAGGAAAATATTTGGATTTAAATAAGAGTTCCTACATTTAATACTTTTGTAATGATGATCAAGGAGAAATGGGCAATGAAAAACAATGAAAGATTGCTTGGGCATTGGAAGAATCAAACTTTAATGACCATATCATTTTAATTGACTAATGCTACAAGAATACATCTAACCTAATTAAAATCGCATGTGACATTTCCAAACAAAATAGAGAAACCGGGAAAGAAGAAAAGATTTGATCCTTGTTCTCATAGAACTCAACAAACTAAGATGTTTCCCATCTTTCATTCTTCAATTGCATGGTTGATTAATGATTTCTAACAAGGATTCTTATTGGATTCTTAAATACAACTTAATTACTAGCATCCCGTCTCACAAACAAGTAGGAAAAATCGGTATTTTGAAAGATATTGCTTACAAGGTATACATATACAGTTGCTTTTTATTGATACGAAAAGTTAAAGTGCTTATTCCTTATCACTGCATTTCTAAATGTTCCCTTTTCCTCATTTTGAACACCAATGTAAAAGAATAGACTCATGTAACCACCTATTTGCCGAATTTCATCAATTAAACATGTAACTCTTGGTGAGCACCACTTACCCACCATTCAAATATTTATTGGAGCTATTTGTTTACGGGAAGTTCTAATGCATTTCTTTAATTGAAACAAACAGAGACATATAACCTACGTAATCTAAATTTTAAACCACGATCTTCATTTACCATAACATTATCCGAAAATTTGTGGGAATTACCTCTCCTGCTTTGACGATGATGACATGAGGTGTAAACCCAACTCCAGGTGCACCTATCCATCACATAAGACACTATGTAACCATTATAATATTCAACAAAATATGAGCTTGAAAAATACATAATAGCAATGACAAGAGCATCTAAAGTTCAAGCATTCCATCACTAAATTATTCCTACCTCATCCAAGTAATTAAACCAAAAGTAAATAAATCAACATTGATGGTTGGAAACAGTGTCAAATCAATCTACAATATACCCGAACGAAATCATCATGAGTGAGTGAATGAGGGTTGAACAAGAAGAAATGAAATTGAGCAACATCTAAAAACATTATGACAAAACACCGTCCAAATACATTAAAATATGCAATTATTAACAATTGTATCTAGAATAAACAAAACTATCTCAGAAAACAATATTGTAACAAGGACTAGTTCCCCAAACGACTAACCAATCTGATCCTTTTTCCAAGCCCAAACCAGATGGGAAAAAGGCTCGTTGGCTTCGGAAGGGTTGGAGATGGAATCTTTGTACAAAGACTTCCACGTGCTTACTAGTAAAGAGACTATTATCATGACCAGAACCAATGATCATTGGGTCATAAAGGGGTAACCTTTCATACTTGCTCCAAGGCTCACCCCTTCTAGATTATTAGAAAATGATGAACCACTTAAAATTTACAAAAAAAGAGTCAATTGTAATCACCAATCTGTAGAATCTAGAAGCATAACTTATAAGTAAAGACAGAAGTACAAAAAAACAGCAACTTTATATATGATGGGAATGAAATTTAACAAAAACAGAAATTAAATAACACTAATATATACCTAAAGCATCCAATTGCTTCTTCCCAGAACCAGCTGGTCTTCCTCTGTGTTTCTTGGCAGATGAATCCGCATTTGGGGTTCCACCACTGCCATCGTTCGAAGACTCCAAATTCCCAGCACTAGCAACATTAGAAATAGCAGTCGCCGGAGCAGGTGCCAAACCGAGCGCAATGTTGCCATCAGACGACGGTGAATACTTCCTCGGCCGGCCCCTCTTCTTCCTGGCTGGCTCAATGCTGTATCCACCAGCCCTAAACCCGCCTGAGGGAGACGATCCATCGCCGTACTGATCAGAGGCATTAAAAGGGAAGCGTTGTTGCATCGAACTAGGGCTTATGATGTTGGCATTTTTATTGTTGTTCGTTATAGCGGTGTTGGAAGTGTTGGATAGGTGGTGGTGGTGGGTAGAGTAAGAGTTGGGTGGCATCATCATACCGGGCGGCGCCTGCTGGTGGTGGTGATGATGGGGTTGATGTTGTTGTAGCGATGGCGGTGGTGCTAATGATTCTCGTGAATCCATTAAAATCCAAGGAAACTGTCTCTGGGTTTCCTTGATCTTCTGTTGATTTTCCTGAATCTTGAAATGCAGGTAGATCTTGCGGCAAATCAATCTTGAGAATCTACTTGAAACCTACTAAACTTGAAACCAATTGAATCGAAAAGATTGAGGAGGCGAAAGATGCGAATCAAGGGGTTTAAAGAAAGAGAGAAAAGAAAGGAATTAGGGTTTTAAAGACCAAAAATTTTGGTTTGATAGGGGCGTATAAGGGCATTTATTGAGTGCATCTACTACTTGTGCTGGAGATGCCTTTGTCACCTTTGTGTCAATTTTGCCTACATGTCTTTGAACCTTCTTATCGACAGCCGAAATTCACAATTTTTATTATTATTATTATTATTATTATTATTATTATTATTATTATTATTATTATTATCATTATTTAATATAAATTTTGAGTAATATTTTAATAATTAACTATTTTAATTTTGGGCAAACAGTTAGGTTACCCATGAATTCAACCGGTCCCACACAAAACCTGCATCTGATGATAATAATATAAGATGATATTTTTTAGTTCATTAAACAGTTAAATTCACTCATGTCTTGTATTTGGACAAATTCACTCGAGTCATTTGCCAACTGAATTACACATTAAAAGCAATTAACTATTTGAATTATGAGAATATATATGTTTTGTTTGTAAGGAATGATTGTTACAAGGCCATTTGAAATAGTTTTGTCATCTATTAGTAATTGTAAATATTTATTGTTGTACTATTTAATAATAAAAAATACAGTATATATTTATTGCGAAATAGCAAGTATCTTTATTATCTGCCATTTTTATTGATTGAAATGATTATTTTGATACCCTTTCTTCTCACCTCTTATGCTTGGTATTTTTACTTACTTTGAAATCTTTTTATCTAAAAATAAATTTGTTGCATTCATTCATATGCACCCTCACTTTTAATAGGGGGCCTTTGTCATGTGATTTTATCGGCAAGTATTCGGTTGTTGACGTATCCTCCACACCTACTTGAATGAGCTTGTTCAACGACGTGTGTTTCAAATTTCGAAGGTGTGAGTGACCTTTCGTAAAGGACATAACAAATTGTCGGGAAAGTTCCCTTTGGGCTCTCCCCCAACCACAAGTGGCATTATTAGACAACAAGAAAACGAGCTTCTCTGTTTCTATTAAATCAAAAGTCCAATCAGCCATCAACTCGATGTAGGTCACATGACCTACAACTCGTCTTTTGCTTTTTGAGGGTCGAAAATGGTATTACAAATATTTAGAGACATAAAACATAACAATATAAAATCCTTGGTTTTGAATTTAACTATTTATTAATAAATTTTATAAAAAATGAAATAAGAACTTGGATCAATTAAAATAAGAATAGAACCTACCACCTTCATATTATTAACACAACACCCTAACCAATTTAGAAAACAATTTTTCACTATTTTGAAAGAGAATTTTGTACATATAATTAGTATGTACAACATATGCATAGGATGGTTACTAGAATGAGAACATTAAATCAATGGTTGGTTATACATTTGACTATTTCATACAAAAATCAATATTTCCTCATTTTGTGGAACAAAACCACTTTTTGCAGCATACCAAAGAACAAATCACCAACACAAATAATCCAATTGTTTCTGTAGACATTTATATAGTACAAAAACATGAACAAAAATACAAGTCCGTGTAGTCGGGAATCTGCTGAAACGGCAAGCGGCTCGATTGTCTTCTTAGCTCATTTGGTAATCAGGAAGGAAGAGTCTCTACACCATCTAGCATCTGATCTCATATGAACCCGCTTTCGTTATATACCTGACCCACTCAACCGTATTGTAACCACTTTTCTCCCATACCTGCAAAGAAACCGCAAGGATTTAATTTTAAACCATTCGGGATTCAAAACATGCGTAATTTAGCTACATTCTAAACACCATATCGGGTGGTAAAATGTACCTTGAGAAATCTGACTCTTAATCCAGATGCCGTAAACATAGGTACCTACAAAACCACACGAATGTAAGCGCTTGTTATCCTGGAAATCAACTGTTTGATTTTTTTCAATTTTTTAGTCACTTTTTTCACACAAATGCTAACGCTTGCTACACCAAGGGTTATAAAGTCAAATCAAGCCATTTAAAGATGTAAACTAGTGCAGGAGAAGCACCTGAAACTCCATCTGTATCGGTGGCCTAGTCCAAGACTTCTTTTCTGCAATCGTTGAAATCAACTCCACTTCTGCGCTCAAAGTTGACTCGGTTTGTCCTGGAAATTTTCGTATCCTGCAAGTTATTATAACGACACATGTCAAGAAGCATCACCTAAGAAGGATATGCAAAAGTATAGAAATGTGGACCACGTACACAATTAGATAACAAAATAAAGCTTCTTGTATATATATATAGGGTTGGGTTCCGGTAAGAATGGAAGGTATGATGAGAAGGGTGAGAAAGGATCTCCACTCTTGGATCAATCCTAATTGAAGATCTACACCCTTGAGATGCACCAGATCAATTCCCGTGAGGAGCGCAATTCACGGGATGAGGTGAGATTAAAAGTGATCAAGGTCCAAATCCCTTCTTACGCTTCTCACCTTTTAACTCTATTCTCACACGATCATTTGCCTCTCTATATATAGGGTCAGATTCGGAGGAAAACCTCAAAAAATAAAAAATTGAGGAACACTCTAGTAACCGTTCATCTGGACGTTATGCACATGTGAAGCATTGAATTTTACTCACTTCCACACCAAACAGTCCATAGAAGCATTGTACTTTGCTCGTCCTGATGTCACTTGAAGACTGGTTTTTGCTGTTTGTTTGGGTACTGGAATCTTAACCACCACTCCAAGTGCAAACATTTTTGCACCAAAGACACTTTTTACCTGAAATCCAGTAAGGTTAATAATATATCTACAGTAAATTAGTTCATAATTTAGTTCTTTACAAACCTTAACGTTTACTTCCATGCGTGTCCTGCCCAATTCCTTGATGGTGGGCAATACCCGGAATGGAAGATTTACACCCTCAGTGATACGATATCTGTGGAGAATATATCAACTTATTAATATAAATTTAACAAACTATTTCTTGCTGTAAGTTAAAGTGATTTGTCACAAATCAGAACAGAATAGTAACTTACTTCATTAGCTCGAATTCACCATCTGGTGGCACAAAGCTCACAGTCTTTTCTGAATTAAATCTGGTCAAGTTTACACATTGATGGAAGGTAACATCATCGAGCTCGATAGTTTTCCCACTACATTTGATAGTTAAGTTAAAGTTTGGTCATTAAAAGGGACAAGATCAGCACATAATCAAACTGGGACGAACATCAAACGTTCAAAACTTAATATATGCGAAATTAGGAAGAAGAAAAAAGCAACAAGTTTGGTGCTTCACATGGAAGAGACCAACATCCAAAATAAATTCTATAAAGGAGGTCCCAAAAGGGAAACAGAAGACCATTCCTTTAGGAACTTTTCCTGTCTTTCTGGGACATTATGAACATATACAATTTACAGAAATAACCTCAAATGAAATATAATAAAGATCCGAACAAAATATCCCTAGAATCAAGGATTCATGGAAAAAAAAAAGAAGCTACAAGTAAATGCTAAATGGGAGAAAACATAATTCTCATGGATGAGAGATGTTTTCCTTCATAATTACCTCTTGGTAGGGCGTGATTTAATTTCAGACTCTTTCTCGAGTCCAATTTTGTCATTCAATCCCAACTTCAAATCAGGCATTCCAGAAAGGAAACACTTCATAAGAATCTTGCCCGTAACGTCACAGCGTAGCACACTACCTGTTAGCATCAAATTATTCATCAGGGAATGATATACATGCACATGTGAAGAGCAACTAAATAGTACCTTTTGAAGACATAAGAAGATTAACACTCTCCACAATATCCAAAAACACCTGCACCCAAAAAAATGTCATGATATAGCAGCACCAAGCATACACATAACTTGAAACGGGGAACGGGAAAAACGAAGTAAAATATGGCCACCTCATTCTTTTTATAAGCAAGACCTTCCCTACGCCAGCCAACCGCGCCAGTTACTTGTAAAGTCGCATTGGGGACAGGTCTATCTGTTGGCTGTTTACAATCATCAAAACAACAAGTTACAAGTCGGAAAATCTTTGATATCATCAAGAAGAAATAAATTATTGTCTTTGTTTGAAGTACAAATATTTTTGTAATTGGCGGAGCAGGAGATTCTACTTATTTGAATAAGATCTTAAAGACGATCAAAAAAAGATAATAGTCACATCTGACCTTGGATGAAAATGGTGAGCGTACACCTTCCTGAGTAATGTAAAGCTTCAATATTTCTGGCGAAAGATTTTGTGGATAACCGAAGTCCATAATTTCTGCAAATCAGACCATATATACAACAGTGAAACATAATACAACACAAAAAAATAAAGAAATGTACAATAATGTCCTTTGAAAGCAGATGAGGCAAGGTACAAATAACCCATAATATTCAAACAACATGCCATGCAAAAGGCTCAAGATATGCTTCTAGAAAAGGACTAAAATTGAAAAACCTGAGGTATCTTCTGGCAAACTCTCACTTTTGGATTTTTGTCTAAGTTTTCAAAAAAGTGTGAAGTGGATATGATGATGGTGTGTAGCAAACCTTTAGCATTATTAGAAATCCAAATTCGATTTTACTAAAATTATCAACACTAGTAATGAATTACAAACTTAATTATGATGATTTCATGGTTTACAAAATGGGTTGATGAAAAAAACATGTCAGATTATTTGACGTCGAAAGGTTCACTTTTCAAACCCAATATAAACATAAATTTTATCTTTTTTCCTTTTTTAATATTCTCATTTTCTTAAATTGAGAAGTTTCCATCCAAATGTGTTCTAGTTTGATTATGAAACCGAAATCACAAACAAATGTAAATGTAAAATGAGGCCTAAGATAAAGATAGTTACATTTGCTTCATTCTTGGAGGCTGACCAACCAATAACAAGAGAAACTAATAACCAGTATATTCTCAAATGTATGTGCAGCAAATTGAAAAAAGAGAGTAGGAGCCACACGAAACCACTAAAATATATCTAAGGGGATAAATATGCTTCTGCAATACAATAAAAATACATCTATGGGGATGGATATGCTTCTGCTAAAGACAATTTCTACAGTATCACTTGGAAAACCTGTGCATCTTTCTATGACAGGTAAGTAGGTAACAGAACAACTTGAAGAAGAGTTTGAGATTTAGTACCATCCAATAACTCGTATATCAGAACAAAGTTGTTGCGGATGGCATCCTCATCAAAAGCACCACCAAAATATGATTTAAATAAAGCAACTGCCTGCATGAGAGGAAAAATAGTCTATTACTTAATACACACAAGTCTTGGGAGTTTATCACAAAAGGCTGATCTTCGGTCTACCCACCTTCTTGTTGAATAACAGGTCAAATGAAAGTAAATACTAACAACTTAATGAGTATTAATGAAGTTTCAAGTTAAATTTTCTTTTGCGAAGCTCTTATCTTTTCTTGATGGTTCTTTTCTTTATTGGCGGTTAATTCTCTTCCCTTGATATATATATGTGTGCATAGTGGTAACTTTTTCCATCATAGACTAACACCATTATCATAAAACAAGCATAAGAGAGTTGAAGCTGAACCTGGAAACTGAATAGGAAAACTTTTGTAATTTTATATTAAGATTTACGCATAATGGAACCTGTACTTATTCTATTGACGGTAAGGAGAGTTCTGTGATCCGTGGACATATCAAGGGACTCCAATCCAAAAGGGCCTAGCATGTTAAAATCTATAAATCTTCTGGTGGTAAAAAGTTCAGCCTCCTTGCTCAAATGGTTGGATTCAGTGTCTCCAATGGCCAGTGAACACTGGGGTCAGAGGCGTAGCCAGAGGGGGGACCGCTGGTGCCAAGCCACCCTCAATGCATGGTCCAACCCATTAGACTTCTTATATAAAAAGATTTTAATGTTGAAAGAAAGGCTCAAGCCCTCCTCAAGCTCCATGTGTATTATGAAATTCTACCCATGCAATATCCTATCACAATATGTAGGTTAATTAGTATTTAGTAGAATTTAGTGTTCTTTGGCAAATAACAAAAGTCTAAAATAAACTTAATTAATTAAATTATTTGAATGTTTTACACTCAAATATATAATGTAAATACAATTAGAAATCATGTAAAATGTCTACTTGTTGGATATGTTTAACTTTGTTGTAACAAAAAACTCAAACCCTAGTTTAATTGTATGTGATTGTTGATGTTGATATATTGTAATTTGTTTTAACTTTTCACATAGCAAATATGTAAATTGTAATTTGTTTGAACTTTTAAAAGATGGATTCTTTTTTTTATCTTGGGTTGAATAATGAGGAAGAAAGGAACCATCAATCCTTTTTCTAAGAGAAAAGAAGACATAGCTAATGACCAACAATTACATCCTATAACCTTGTAGAAAATGTGGCTGATATAGAAAAGACCACTAGAGTTGAACTGGAAATTTTTTGGGAAAATCTGGGGCAGGTCAACATATATTCTTTGGTTCATGATCCAGGGACACGATATTCAATATTAAGCTATTCAAATAACTAATGTGGTGAAATCAGTCAAACATATATTGAACTTGGACTACATCAACTTCATAAATCACAATTCTTTTGCTGGCCACATCTAAGTGTGTTAAATAGCAAAAAAAGGCGAATGTCAAGACAATATTATGATAAAAGGTATCCATCAGTACTTACAAGGGGTAACCAAACAAATATCAATTTTAGTAGACCCTTGAAATCAGAAGATTACCTCAACAACGAACTTAAAGGCACATGCTACATTGGCATTGCTGCTGACAACGATCACGATGTACACATTGCTAATTCTCATATAGAAGAAAGAGCAACCCCCAATCTGCCGCACAGGACATGTTCCTAGTTCCTTTGTTTGCATTATGTGCATTCTAAAGGCATCAACCATATTCCCCCTGAAAGATGCAACAACAAAGAATCAAATAGAGATGGTTAAAGAGAAGACATATATCCTATGCATTTGCAACAACTTTAAAATATGAATTTGTAATACAAATTACTCAATGAGATCCAAAGATAGTTTATTTGAAAGAAAAAAGCCCACACACTCTTTTTTAAAAATGGAAGGCTTGTCAGGATTACTGCAAAGAAGATATCAACTTTACAACAACAACAGAGTCCAATAAATTTCATGACAGTACCAATCCAATGTGCTGCTTGCAAGGCAAGTCAACTAACCTACAGAGATTGGAGCTTGGACTAGCAAGACATCAAGAGTGGCGTCTCTCATGCTTAAAAGCGGCAGGGGATGAAGTAGAACATAAACTAAAAGAGAGACTTGCTGAGCAGACATAATTCGCATATATATATATAATCTAACAGCTCGCCACAGACATTTGCCACTAGGTTTTAGTGTTTTATCATTAGTCTGGGAAGAAGATGACCTTAGGTGACACCAGTAAACATATGAAGATAACACCAGAATGCATGAAGAAGACTCAAGCTTTGAGGTTATAAGATCATGTATAACAGCAATTTAGTTGGAGGCCTTTATTCTCATGCATAAGGTTTTTTGTTCAAGCTCATCTTGAACAGTTGCACAAGATAACTACGAGTTGAGGTCTAGTTATCGTCATGCTGAAAGTTCATGCAGCTCAACAACTTTAACCCAGCTTGCTCAATTGTAGGAAGTGACCAATACACTGTCGGATCAATTGGGATCAGTCATCATCCATAGAGTTGTTGCTTCTACCAACATTCTTGAGCCCAATTTGATGGTGTAAATTCATACAGGGATGGCTGTGGTTATGCTGGATCTTCTTTTGTTCAAAACAAATAGGCACCTAAAATTTCTTATATCTAATTCTCATTAATTCTAGGTAACATGGAACAGGCAACCACAGACTGTAAAAGGAAGTCCAAAAAGTCAAAACTGATTTATGTAAACTATAGTACTAATCATCTCCTTGTAAATAAGATATCAGGTAGCAACCTAAACGTGATAGCGGACCTCCTAAAATTTCTTTCAAAAGCCAATCCCTTACCTCAAATAGTTCTGAGCATTTGTTTTTCAATACACTGATACTCTCTGTTCCCAGAGAAAATAGATATTTGAGCCTTGGATAAACAAGTGGGATGCTTTACAAATTCGAAAATGATCTGGATTTTAAGCCTTTCATAGGACCCTATAAATGTGAACTTTATAACAAGGGTTTTATACTCAAAATCATTAGTGTTAAATTAGCAACAAAATGTATGTCGATCTTAAAACACGGAACAGTTCCAATGACATCCAAAAACTCTATATCGAATAATGAAACAGTATATGCTTATAAACAAGGTAGTCAACCCCCATCGTAGCTATTGAATGGCGTATAGAAAACTACGATATGAACCAATCTACAGAATAAAGCGCAGAAGTAATCCTAACTCACTTAAGTTCTAGTTGCCATAGGCAAACTAAATGCATCGTCATATTGTTCATCAAAACTTAGACAAATAAGCATCTTTCGACATACATAACACAGAATCATATATGTAAACAGAACATACACACAGAGATAGAGTCAGAGAGAGCTAACCCGACATCATCGCGATAAAGACGATTGATGAGGACATCACCGCGAAGATTTAAGAAATAGATAGCAGAAGCAGCCACCGGCATCTCTTGAGCCGGTCCAGTGACAAATTGAATTCAGAAATTGTCAAGCACACAGAGAAGACGATGAAGGCAGATCAGATCTAGAATCTTTTTCCGAAATTAGGATTCAGATTTCTTCAAACATTTTCTCCGATTGGAGCAGGTCGAGAGTAGTAAACGAATTGGGGCAGTTTCCGTTGAGCACAACACAGTCCTTATTAACTTTTTCCTACGTGTTCTTATCAGTAAATTAATAATCAGATTTTACAAAAATTTATTTATTTATTTATTTATTTATTAAATCATATATTGGAAGTAAATGTTATCGTAGTAGTTGGTGTCAGAAACATAAAAAGAGAAGTTAGGTGTTCAAATTGAAATAGTTGTGTAATCGAAGGGTTATATTTGATATTTGAACTCGCCAAATACCATAGTCTCTGACTTCCGTTCAATGCGGTTCAAGTAACTTTGCCGTGTGATCTATGCCTATGGCTATCTCTGTTCGTAGAGCAAGTGTTACTTTTTATCTTTTTTTCTTATAATATACCATGTATCAGATCCTCTATATGTGCACGTTTACGCAGTTTTTATATGTGATTGTTGGAATTCGTGAGGTTTGGGTTCGGAAGGTTCTTTATTTGAATTGCCCATTAGCTGTTTGATAAAATGTCTGTTCCAAGTGAGGTACTATAAGTTAAGCAGAGCTGTGTTCTTTCAGCTCCAATACTTCTTTGAATCGCAAACTGTTTCTGCTGATGTTGATTTGGCTTTTCTCTGGGTTTTGAATTGATGTAACTAGAAACAACAATAGCACATGTGTGTAGCGTAAGTCAGTTACATAGGCATGGATGGTGCATTTCTCTCTTGTTGCTTTTGTAATGTCTCAGAAACCTGTGTTTCTATTGGGTTTGTGAAATCATGGAAGACTGCAATAAAAAGAAACCATGGGGATAAAGTTAGGTTAAGTTTGATGGATTCATCAAGAACCAGGATTTACCTTAGAAAACCAACCAAGAAATTCAATGATCCTCCTTCAACAGTTCTCGGAGTTAATGAATCATTTAATAAGGGAATAAGACCTGTTGATGACCGTGAGGATTCAATATCTACTGAAATGGATGACAAATTTGATGTTTTGGATGGCGGCTTGGAAGCCTACGACGATGAAGCGGACGAACAAAGAGAAGAAAAAGAAGTAGAAGACAATCCTGAGTGGGATCCAGAGGAGATTGAAACAATTTCCTCTCTGTTTAGGGGGAGGATTCCTCAAAAACCCGGAAAATTGGTTAGGGAAAGGCCTCTTCCTCTCCCACTTCCATATAAGCATCGACCTGTAGGACTTCCCTCTTCAAAGAAATGGAAAAGAACTGCAAATTCTTCACGAAAATCTTTATCTAGTAAAGTGTACAAGGACCCAACATTCTTGGTCGGTCTAGCCAAAGAAATCAGAAATCTTCCTCCTGAAGAAGATGTTTCCGTAGTTCTGGACAAGTGCAGTCGATTTATTCGGAAAGGTTCGTTGTCATTAACAATAAGGGAGTTAGGACACATGGGTCTTCCTGAGCGAGCTTTGCAGATATTCTGTTGGGTGCAGAAACAACCTCATTTGTACCCAGATGACAGGCTTCTTGCTTCAACTGTTGAAGTCCTGGCGAGGAACCATGAACTGAAATTGTCTTTCAAGCTTGAAAAATTCCTGAGTCTGGCAAGCCAGGAAGTATATGAGGCTGCTGTGAGAGGTTTCATACGGAGTGGCAGCTTAAAACTTGCATACAAGCTTGTTTCCGCTGCCAAGAATGGGAAAATGATGCTTGACAGTGGGGTTTATGCAAAGCTCATTTTAGAGCTGGGAAAAATCCCAGATAATCACGTGCTTGTATTGGCCTTACTCGAAGAGCTTGGACAAAGGGAAGATTTAAATCTAACACAGCAAGACTGCACAGCGATAATGAAAGTTTGCATCAAGCTTCGGAGATTTGAGATTGTAGAGAGTCTATATAATTGGTTTAAAGTCTCTGGCCGGGAACCAAGTGTGGTCATGTACACCACTTTAATACACAGTCGATATTCTAATAATAATTATAAAGAGGCACTGGCTTTGGTTTGGGAAATGGAAGCCTCAAATTGTCTTTTTGATCTTCCAGCATACCGTGTGGTAATCAAACTTTTTGTTGCTCTCAATGACCTCTCCAGGGCTGTAAGATATTTTTCAAAACTGAAGGAGGCTGGTTTTTCTCCAGCATTTGACATTTACATGGATCTTATCAAAATTTACGCTCTTCATGGGAGGGTGGCCAAGTATAAGGAGGTGTGCAAGGAGGCAGAGGTTGCTGGATTCAAGCTGGAGGAACGAACAAGGTCCCTGTTGATGCAATTGGACGAATAAACATGTGCTGACTTTGTTGATAAAATCATTAGTATGATCATCTCAACCTTTGGTTTTCTAAATGCAATCGAGTCATTTGATGAGCTGGTAGTAATCTTGTGCTGAAACTTGTCTACTCTCAGTTGGGTCCTGTAAGAATTCCACCGACCATCATCAATGTCAATGAACTTGTTATGTTATCACAAGTTCAATAGACCATTTATTGCAAATTTCCTGAATTCATTTGCTTTTACGTTTACTAAACGATCCATTTGGGTTTTTCAACATTTTAACTAATTACATCTTCTTTGTGATTCCTTTTCTAATGCATTCAGTAGGAAATAACCTACAATTCTATCCTTGTTCTTGCTAAATGTTCTCATGGTGATCAAACATGGGTCGTTTCAAACATGTTTTTAGATGTTGAAAACAAAACGAACTTCATTTATTTTGAATAATGTACTATTTGGGAAATCCACAAACCCAACAGCACCTTACTCTTTGCGTTATGACATTTCTTTATGAAGGATGGACTAATAGAAGGAAATGTCTGGGGAGTATGATAAGCTGTCTTATTGTATTTCTAGATTTCCATCAAAAGCACCTAGGTTCAGAATCAACACTCGCTAGGATATTAGAGAAGATATATATGAATTAATTTTAGATTAAAAGGTTCTATTTTACAGTAGCAGAGAGAATACAGACACAAATTGAAGCTTGGTGAGAGTTGTTCTGTGGTTGATAGCTTTTCATTGTTTTTTTGTTCTTCCTTCACTGTTTCTCAAAACTCATATAGCTGCTTCTTTCATGCTCTTAGTCTGGTTGCAAGTTAAATACCATCTTGAACTTAAGTGCAGGAACTACCCTAATCGCTTGCAAGTGTCCACACATAGATAACCACTTCAGTTTGGAACTTCACTTTTTGAGGGAGCTGATGTTCAATGGTCACTGCACTAATTTCTACCAGTCGTGCAGATCTGCATGAAATAGTGGTACCACATGCAGAAACATGCACACGTCCAATCCGTGACTACTGCTGAAAAGTTGTGTAACCATCTTTTTTAACTCTGCTCCCATGTTTTTTACTTAATGAGACCTTAACTTGTTGATTGGGAATAGGAACTCGATTATGGAGATCAAGTTTGGCTACAACACTTTACATGGATAATTTTGCTAGTTACCGCTACCACTCGATGATTTCCTTTATCTTGATTTCCAGAATTAGGTTACAAAGATTCTTCTTTTGGTCATGAAAGAAACTTGACTTCTGTTTTTAGTTCAAATGAACTTCAATTTCTCAGATCTTGCATCTCCACCAGAACCTTGTCAACCCGCCACCCCCCAGGGGAAGGCTTTCTTTGCCCGTCTTAGGTCTGATCCATTTGCTGCACCAAGATGCATGGTGACTCCCAGAAAGGCGGTGAATTTTTCCAGTCAACACCAAGATTTTGAGGTATCCTTGAATTCTGTTGGTATTGCCTCCAGGTTTATTGAGATGTGCTATGAAGTAGCTTAAAAAGTTAAATCCAGTCTGGCTACTGTTCCTTGATGTTGATCCATCTAGTGCCATCCGACTAGGGTTAGAGTCAACTGTCAAGGTCAAACCAGGGTTTTTTTTTAATTAACTTGGATATCCAACCCACTATACGAGCCAACTAATCCTAGGGCGACCACCTGCTTTGCAGGTAGCCCGGAGTCCCCGCATTTGAACCTCCGTGGCCACAAGGGGATTTTTATTCCTCCTTGGATTTGAATCTGAGACCTCCTGATACTTTTGACCTTTGGAGCCAAGCTCAAACCAATCAGGCACCACCCTTGTGGTTCAAACCAGGGGGTTTAAGTTGCCTGGATTTTGCTTTCTGTTCCAGCTTCCACCACAGGGGTTTGGCTGAGCCATGGCCGAAGCATCTCATCGTTCAAGTCAAGGAATACATTAGGAAAAACGCAAACCTCAGTTAGTGAACAGAAAACGTATCAAAATATTGAATTATTTTGTTATGCAGTTCTTTTTTTCATGTGGTTTTCTTTTTTCTTTTAATTTTCACATGAATCTTTCCTGCATCTTTTTCCCTTCATGCTTATCCATTGTGGTCTCAAAAGTCATTTTCTTCCTTCTAGGATACTTCCATTGAATACCACAAATTTTCAAAGATGTGAATCAGGAACACTTTGTAACATGCTTTGATGGTCACACATAACTCAAAAATTACGTAAATACCCTTTTGCTTCGGTTTTAATCATGGTTCGAATCTTATATTTTACAGATTAAAACTAAATTAATCTTTAAAAAAAGATGAGCAAAAAAACCCTTTAAATGGAACTAGCTTTACTTCTTTCACATGATTCTCCCTTCCATCTTTTTTCCCTTGATGCTTATCCTTTCTAGTCTTTGAAGTCATTTTCTATATAAGCTTCAACCATTTGAACCATAAATTACAAGGTCTCCGGTTCAAATCCAGCCACCGCCCGCCCTAGGACACCGTGATTCACCTCCCTATGATGGTCGTGAGACTGGTAAAGTAGGAGCACTTGGAGGACAACATAGACCATTGTCATAAAAAGAACCACAAACTTGCCGTGTTATTCGTGGCCCCGAACCAAATAATTATCAATGTCAACACTAAAAGATAAAACAGAACTTCTCATTATCCGAAAAACCAAACACCAACTTACAACCATAAATGAGCTCTCGTAATCGAATATTTCTCTTATCCGAAACATGCCTGCCAAAACTACGCTTATTCTTTAATCACTATAATATTTATGAAAAAGATGATGGTCTCAAACAAGAGGAAATTCGTAACTCTATACATTGTACATGTAGCGAAATGTAGGTTCTTGAGTGACCATGTGATATCTGTAGTCATAGTAAGTCATTCTGAACATGAAATCTTTTTAGGTGTTGAACTTCTGTTCTGTAGCACTTGTCGAAGCCTATATATCCAATAAACAAATGTTAGAAAAGGGTTTGAAGTTGCAAACTCAATTGAGAATGACAAATGTTCTGTTGATGCAATTCCATGATTAAATGCTATCAAGATAGATGAAAGTAAGGCTTTGTGCTAACCCCAACGGACGTAATAAATTGGCAAACTGCACATTTCACAGATCGTGCTCCATACTGGTACATCAAAAGCATCCTACAGTTTCCACAATTGACATGTGCTACCTGGTTTGCTGTCAAAAGTGCCATTTTTTAAGAAGTCTGATCAAATGATTCTTACAAAATATAGGAGTTAGTTTACCTTCTAAGGCTAAATTGATGGTATGACAGCATGAACATTGTACGCTTGTCGCCCCACGGATGTACATGAGTAATGTGTGACAGCCTCCACAAACCAATTGCGCCATTTCGGTGCCTAAATCAGAAAACCCGTATCAAGAAACATACTATGATCATTTTGGTTGCCATTGGAACAAAAATTTGCTCCTGAAACTCATAAAAACTTAACAGATTTCCATGTACCAGGAGGAGGAACAGCTGTGACAGCATTACAAACTGCACAGCAGACCGAGGTTGCTCCCACTGGGTAAAGTAGAAGATTTCGACATCCTGAACACACTAGCTGGCTTTGAGAACCTGTTTCACCATAGTTTTTGACATTTTTGTCTCAGAAAGATAGATCTGAAAGAGTTATTGATTGAAAGAAACAACAGAGTACTCTGCTTTTCTGGCATTCTGTGCTTGATTTATGAGGTAAATATGCACCATATTCATAAATCATTTTGTTATAGGTATCCCTCATCATGAAAACTCTCAAATACTGCAAATCTTGTTGCTTTGACTCAGTTTATTACCAGACTTAACAAAAAGCTGTTTTCTTGAAAAGATTAGCTTCCTATAATCTTTCTTTATGCTCTCATGCTCAAACCAGTAAACTTCTGTCTGATGTTGTAAAAAGAAAGATTAAAAAAACTGGATTGAAATAAGAAAAGATAGATTAACTCATGAGGATACTGTTATTTTTATAGAAAATTGAGCAGGTATACCATTGGCAGGGGTTGTAAGTGGCACAGGAGGAGATGGATATGGAGCTAGAGGGACTGGCATTGTAAATCTGAGGGAAAAAGTCTAATCTTTTCAACTCCAAGATCTTAAAGAGATTACAACTTTTGAAGCATGAAGTACAAGTGCTTCTCTCCCACTCTCATCATGTACCTGAGATGAATCAAGAAAGCTGCAGTCAGTGTTTGATGAAACAGAGTATGGGGATTCAGAATGCATAAAATGGTGAAATCTGATGAACTTTTGCCATTAAAAAGCCATACCTGAAGCAAATTTAGTGGTTTGATGAAGCTTTTTGCTGGCACCATTCCATGTTATGAACTAGTTGGGGGTGGGGCAAGCACACACCTTTGCTGGTTTTTGCAGATGAGAGAGAGAGATATGTGAGTTGGACAAAGACTTGGAAAGAGATGGTGATAAAAAAAAGAAGACGACATATTTGGTGTTGGAATTTCATAATAATGTGTGAAATTTCATATGATTTTAAGTTATCATGGTATTATTATTATGAATTCCATATTTTAAATCGAGAAAAAGCATATTTATTCAAAATAATGTTATTTGAAGTCTTGATTATAACAGATATCATGTGATAATCTATCACTGTTTTAACTCTGTAAATCCGCACATTGTATTCCGTGCAGCCGGTTTTATGCTTACCCGCTATCATTTATGTTATTAGGACCCACAAAAAGTCTTATGTGCATATCAAACAATCTTCTAAAAAGTTATTTCAATTGATTTGTACATTTTTAATAATGACCGGTTTGTTTTAAAGTTAGCATAGAACTTGAACAACTGTCCAATTATCCCTTTTCTTTTCTAACGATCAATGATGTACTTCGATTACTTTTTTCTCCAATTTATCTCAGTTGTAAATTTATTCACGATAACAATCGGTAATGATATAAATATGATGACATTAGATTGTACGGTTGATTCGTAAGTTTTTCAAAATCAAAAAGTTAAATCACATAATATAAATATAATTATAGTAAAATCAAATATATTAATTTATCTCATTTATTAAATAAAAATCATATCCTTATTTTAAACTTTATTTAGAAGATCAAAGTTGTGAATTTAATATTGCTCGTGAGTGATCACGTGAGAGATTTGCTGAGCCATAAGTTCCATTCTCTTTGGGCATCCAACAACTAAGATTTGGCCACGTCACCCTACACCCCCAAAGAATTTAAGAAATTTCAATAAATACCTTATTATTGGAAAAAACTGTACATTTGGTCCCTACCTTTTATGGAAACCGTACGTCTAGCTTTCAAAATTTAATGATTTTAACTGCCCACGTTTAAAAGGGTGAAAATTTAATATTACTTATATGAGTTGTATCTAAAAAAAATATTCATACGTGAACTATTGAAAAAATTTATTATAATATGTATATGTGACTGTAAATAAACGTTATATGTTATTCATACGGATTCACATATGCATTTTCAAAGAGCTTTTTTTTAATTATTCACATATGAATATTTTTCATAACATTATCTTCTTATATGAACCACCTTTTTAAATTGCACCTCCATCATCTTTACAACTAAATTTCAAATGGCTTCACCAAACCAACTGATGTGGGATACTAACTCTACCGCAAAATCTATTGTGGCTCTGTATCTGCAAAATGAAACCAGCCTTGAGGAAGCAATGGTGCAATGGCGGTAGTGACAAGATGGCGACTAGAGATGAGAAGCATGGTGGAGATGGGAGTGGAGGAGAGTACAGAATGGCCGTTCTGATTTTATTATCATCTGTTCAATATGTTATGTATTTGTTTTTAAATTGATGATGTAGTTGTCTTTTTAATGTTTTTTTAATTGATAATTATGCCACGTCATATTAAGGTAACCGGTTATCTGTTAAAAGACATATATATCGAACCCTAAAATATATGTAAAATCTAATACAAACCCTAAAATAATACTTTTAAAAAATGATTTCTAAAATAAGAATACGATAAAAGTTAATTTTATTTTACATTTTTCTTTCTACCATTTATTGTGTTGTTGAATCAATAAGCCACAAAACCAAAACCCCACCATCAAATTTTGGAATTGCATTAGACCTCTTTGATATCTCAATTGGTGCCATTAAGCACTTCCACATATTTTAAGTACCGTTTAAAAATCCATTTTATTAGAAAAAACAGATGTTAAAGTATATGTTATATGCGATCAATAATTACAATTGTTATCCTTTGTGAAAAAAAAAAAAAAAAAACTATGGCCAGACTTCTTTAACCAGTCTTGATTAAGTTTCCAACTTTACTGATGGCAAGGTCCTGTTATGTGTAAGTAATCGTTAATTATGGCATTCGTACAAACGTACAAGAGTTAAAAAATCCAACTTTTCCAGATATATAACACTGAGACAAAAATACAATAATAAAGATATTTGTTTATCTTAATTCACTTAAAATTAATTAAATACTTGATGGCATTACTGGTTTTATCAAGCCAGTTAAAAAAGCGAAAGTGATGCTTAATATTGAAAGACGTAGTGTCATTTTGAGATGAAAACATGTAGGCCCGAAGGTGATACAAGCCAACGCAAAGCAATAATATAAAGGTGAGCAAACGCTTTTCAAGTTTGGGGCCAAACACATGTGAACTATTACCACCAAAAACATCAATTGAGACAACATGATTTCATATCAAAACAAACTCATATCACCATCTTTTGACGGACATACTGTCATTCTAATGCACAATATCCACACACTTCAATATGTCTTTTGAAGTGTCATGATGATGTCAAGATGATTCGATTATGTTGTTACATCATCTATGCACTAAATATCTATGTCAATTCAGACGTTGCAGAGGACGGTTCTTAGTATTGTGTATAGGGCAGGTGAAAACTGTACAAATCTTTTGTCAACAATTTACTTTTCGTTTTTTTCCTCATGAATTGATAACTGAAGTTGGGCTCGTGACAAGTGTTATTATATTGACATTGTTAATATGTCTTTTCACATGAACGACTAACTTAGATTCAGTGCACAAAATTAAATCAATATTATAAAATATATCAAACTCTTCATCTTTCTGTAACTTACAATTTTGCGGTAACGTTTCCTGTTGATTGTTGTTATTATCACAAGTTAAGCCACTAGTAACTTCTTGAAAGAAAACACTATTTTATATACATAGTTATGTAAATCTCTCAAGGGATCGAATCTTGAATTTGCTTTTCGGAAATCACCAGTTCAACTTCTCTTAGGTCCACCGGAGGCTTTGCCTATAGTTACAAATACCATGTAAGTAACTCAATCTTACCAATTTTCTATTAATTAAGTTTAAAAAATGGGTTTGTTTCCTTTTTTCTATTAACATGGATATTCAACCCTGCTATGCGAACCGACTAATCTCAGGGCGACCACCTGCGAACGGAGTCACTGCATTTGAATCTCTGTTGCCACAAGAGGATTTTTATTTCTCATTACATTCGAACCTGAGACCTTTAGACACTTTTGACTTTTGGAATCCAAGCTCAAACCAATCGGACATCACCCTTGTAGTTACGTTTGTTTTCCTTGACGTAATTGGATTTTAATGGAGGCAATTACAGAAGAGGAAAAGTGGTGGCCAAAGTATATGTAGGTCGAATGGCATGGGCATGGTCCTTAGCCACACCCTATCTTTTGGAAGGGATAGCAACGAAACTAGAATTAAAACAAATTGATTGATCATATTAATTATATTTTTTTATTTGATTTAATATTAATTTATAATATAATTAAAAAAAACCTTATATAAATAAAGTGTATAACTTGGATTTATCGTTAAAACATAACATAAAAACGTGAATTACTCAAATGCATTGCACAAGAACTAGGTTTCGAGCCACATATTACATGAGGGACTTCAAGCTTACATGAACAACAAATACCGCGTCTAACAAATCTCGAGCATAAACATAAAGTAAAAGCAGAAAAATCAAATAACTGATGTCTGATATAATTTATTTTAATAATTTATACGAAAATATAGACCATAAAATATAAGATAAAAATAATAATATAAAATAAAGTGGATTTGGATTTTCTTTGGCTTATTTTTAATTTAAAAATATTATCCATTGGAGTATATTCTTATAAAATTCTGGAATAATCCATTAACTATTTGGCCCTTGCAGTTTGACCGAATATAAAAACAAGCCCTTGAAGATTGATTCCTCTCGTTTGTGCACAATCTTTCTAAATCGTGTTTTTGATAATAAAATAATGGTATAAGACAAAATCCAAATAAAAATAAAAGAGAAGGAAAACGAATTTATTTTTTGTTAAAATATTGTCTGATTTATTAAGAAATCATTAAGATTTTTGGTATCTATTGTATAATTATCTATACCATCTTTATAAAGCAGATTTGATAAAATTATTAAAAACAACCTTAAATGCATAAAGTACTACTTCTTTAAGAATAAAGTATTAAAAGTCTTAAAAACAACTTATAATGCACGATATACGATTTTTTAATGCATAAAATCTCTTAATTACAATCTTACATGCATGATGTACAATATGTCAATGCAATTTTTTTATTTATGGGGTTTCTATTCCTAAGCATTTTAACTCATGCCTCCTGTGCTCATCATTCGTAATCTCATGTATCCGACCTCTCGGTCTCTCCTCCCTCCCCAACCCTAAGATGGTGATTCGTTCCTCCTTCCCCGTTCTTGTTTCATGTTTAGCTTAATGTGTTTTATGAATTGGGTCTTATGGTTGTTTCATATTATGGGTTGAATTTTGATTGATTTATGGTTATTTGGTGTTTGATGCCTAAATTAGGGTTTCTCCATTGATCTCAAGGTTTGACTCTCTCTCTTTGACTTCTTTTTTCTTCAATGGTTTTCTTACACCTTTTCTATCTTTAGCAAATAATTTTCAATCTGAACATATGGGGCTTCGATGCTGATACTTGAGACTCCAAATAATTTTTGTGTAGACTGATTGAAATAGGAAATTTTTGTTTTTTATTCTTTAATTTTAATAAGTAAAGATATAATTGTCATTTTACTGTATAATGGTTAATATTAGAAATGATTTAATTCTTTTAAAATATGGAAACGTAAATATAGAAACTGTTTATATGGAAGATGTAAATCAATTGTTTTTAAATATAATATTGAAAATGATTTAATTATATTTAAATATGAAAACGTAAATATAGAAATCGTTTATATGAAATGTGTAAATCAATTGTTTTTAAATATAAAACGGTGAAACAGTGAAATAGTTGCATGCAATGATGGGAAAAAGATTAATACAGTTTCATAATGTGAAACAGATTCACACATGTGAATAAATACTATGAACCAGATTCATACAATGACGAAATACATGTTCATCTAGTTAAGAAATACAGA